CTTCCTTCTCTTTCTTTCTTTCTTTCTTTCTTTCTTTCTTTCTTTCTCTTTCTTTTTTCTTTCTTTTCCTTCCTTCCCCCTCTCTCTCCTTCTCTCTCCCTCTCATTCTCTTTATTTTCCTTCCTTCCTTCCTTCCTTCCTTCCTTCCTTCCTTCCTTCCTTCTTTCTTTCTTTCTTTCTTTCTCTTTCTTTCTTTCTCTTTCTTTTTTCTTTCTTTTCCTTCCTTCCTCTCTCTCTCTCTCCTTCTCTCTCCCTCTCATTCTCTTTCTTTTCCTTCCTTCCTTCCTTCCTTCCTTCCTTCCTTCCTTCCTTCCTTCCTTCCTTCCTTCCTTCCTTCCTTCCTTTCCTCTCTCCCTCCTCCTTCCCTCCTTCTCCTCTGTAACCCCGTGATCCCATTTGGGGCACTTGGCAATTGGCTCACATTTACAGCTCTTTGCAGCATAACTGTGACTTCTGATGGGTTTTTTTTTTGCCAACTTCTGGCATTTACTTCTAGTTTCCAAGAAAAAAAAAACATCCATTGGGGAAAACTAAGCTGTTAACACCAGTTAAATTAATAACCTGGCTTCCTCAGTCACTTTGTTCATCAGAAGGTCGCAAAGGGGACTCACGTGACCTTGGGACTCAGCGACGGTCATAAATATGAACCAGTTGCCCAGCACCTGAATTTGATCACATGATCATGGGAATGCTGCAAAGGTCATAACTGAAAAATGGGCATAAGTCATTTTTTTCAGTGCCATTGTAACTTTGAATGATGCCTGAACAAACTGTTGTAAGTTGAGGACTCCCTGTTACTTAAAAAAAGACTAGAAAGTATGTTATTCCGTGGCTTTCCTGTCTGTCTCAGAAGGTGGCAGCATTTCACCATCTTTTGGCTTGGAAGAGTAAGAGAGAGTAAGAGAGGGTGGGAGAGGGAGGGAGAAGGAGAAAGAGAGAGGGAGGGAGAGAGAAAGAGAGGGAGAGAAAGAGAGGGAGAGAGGGAGAGAGAGAGAAAGAGAGGGAGAGAAAGAGAGGGAGATAGAAAGAGAGGGAGAGAGGGAGAGAGAAAGAGTGGGAGAGAAAGAGGGAGAGAGAAAGAGAGGGAGAGAGAAAGAGAGAGCGGGAGAGAGAAAGAAAGAGGGAGAGACAGAGGGAGGGAGGGAAAGAGAAAGAGAGGGGGGAGAGAGAAGGAGAGAGAGAGAAAGAGAAAGAAAGAGAGGGATGGAGAGGGAAAGAGAGAGAAAGAGAGAGGGAGAGAGAAAAAGAGGGACAGAGAGAGAGGGAGAGGGAGAGAGAAAGAGGGAGAGAGAAGTAAAGAGAAAGAGAGGGAGGGGAGAGACAAAGAGAGAGAGAAGGAGAGAGAAAGAG